GGGGGGAGCAAATAAATAAATAATTCAATACCAAAAGACAAATGCTTCCAACTGCAGTGAATCCCCGCAGGTGCCAGTAAGCGATTTCTCCCTCAAGATAGTTGCTACCCATTGCGTTTGGCTTGCTTGATTTTATTTCTTTTTAATGTGTTTTTGGTATGTTGACTGTTTCCTGCTTAGAATCTTAAAGGAAGGAGAAGGGGGGGGTGGAATGCCCCCATTCCACCCCACCCCGCCCCACCCCACCCCACCCCACCCCACCCCACCCCTTTGTAGAGAGTAAGAGCTTGTGTTGATGATAGTTTGGGGGAAGGGGAGTTGTGGCGAGGCGAGTGGAAGTGGACAGAAGGTAAAACAGGGACTCCTGGTTTATGTGTCTCTCATTAAGACATTCCCCTCACCGAACTCCCATGAGAACCTCATTTTTTCCTAAATTGCCAAAGCTGAACGGAAAGGGATGCTTTGCCGCAAAGAAGCTACAGCCACGAGCTTGCTTTGCATTTCTCTATAGTTCTCCCACTACAGAGACTGAGAGCGAACAAAAGCGTCCTCCCTAGAAGCGACCTGAATGGAAAATCTCCTGCAAAGGAACTAATGGATTTGTCAGTAAAGTAGGGAATGGGGTTTGCTGCGTTCCCAGGAGGCAGCCCATCGGGGTGGTTTTTTAGGGGCCAGGGCAGCCATCAGCCTGGTTGTGCCCTCCCGCTCTCCCTCCCACCCAGTTGATTCTCTCTTTGTGTAAGTTTAGCTCCTCTGAGGTGGTAGAGTGAGAGCATCCCATCAGGTATATATATATACGACTCATTACGCCACACTTAAAAAGATCGATAATAGGCAGTGGGAGGCTGGGAGATGGTGCCTTCAATGGATTTACTGAAGGTTTTATTTTCCCCTTGCCTTGAATGGCTTAATTGGTTAAAGCAGATTCCAGAAATTCTGATGCCTCTAACTCAGAGCAAACTGCGCTGTGATATAAACTGTGTTTATCTTGTTTATTTGGGGGTCAAGAGTGCAAGACATCCCATTCTGTGTGTCCTGGAGTTTTATAGCAGTGGCACTGCAAACCACAGTGTGGTTCTTAAACGAACCTGTCAGTTTGATTTCACTTTTTTAAAGAGGAGAAAGAAAAAAAGTATTTATAAGGGTCAGTAATCATGTGCATATATTATAAAATATTTGTGCAAAAGGGAGGAAATGTTAGATTCATCTAACGAGAAATTCTCCGTTTGTCATGCTGCAATTCAAAGAAAAAAGTTGGTATGGGTTGATCAAATCTTATTATAAAGTGGCAGAGTTATTTGGAGGCACTTGGCTAAATTTCTCAGATATCCACTTGGGGGAGTCTGGAAGTCTTGAGAGAAAGAGTAAGAATTTATAAAACGTATATACTCTGTGGAACCGGCCAGCTAATGATTTGTTAGAATTTAGTATGAACACAATGGTATTAGAAAGAAAAAATCTTTAAATTATCTTCAGTAAACATTATGTGGAAATTAAACCCATTTCTGACTCCTATCATTACAGAGCTATCTTTTATTTGTATTTGGAAGATGCAGGCATTCTCTGGAGACATCCCTTTGGAAAGAACTAGTGACCTGTATGGTTTCTGTTACGTGTTTTGGAGTTTGGAAACTTTTGGTAGTTAGACAAGAGATAAAATCTTTACTAAAACTGAATTACACCAAGGAAGCTCCTAAGGAAATCGAAGAAGCACCGTAAGATCAAATGACATAGTTTTTTTATGCATGTGCAAGTCATAATAATCTAAGCTAATGCTTTTTTTGCATTATTTTTTTCTTTCAAAATACTCCTGATGAAATATTTAGAAATTTATCTACAGCATGAAGCTCACTTTCCAATTCAAGAAACAGGGATCACAGTCACATGAATTGTCTGTCTCATAGAATAGAAAATCCACTATATATATTTCTTATTGTGTTTCTAGTGGCAAAATTTATATATAAACATACACACATATGTGTGTATATATGTGTGTGAGTATACATATATACAGTTCTCTCATAAACTTTAATGAAATCCTTTAACAATCTCTGACAAGTCACTTTACTGTAAGAGTAGTCTACCTTTGCCACTTACATCCTTGATTATATGATGGGGTGATTTTTTACTGTCAGATTGTCCACATCTAAAACAGCAAACACACCATAGGTCTGCTGCTAATATATGAAAAATGCTAACAGTTGAAAAGGAATGTTAAATATACCTGTTAATTTTATTGCATAAAATGCACCTTCATTATGTCTGTATACATTAGATCTCAAAATGACCTAATAATGAGTTTGATCAGCAAGGTTCCATATCTACACCTTGAATTTGCAAAGACACATATTTTGGAAGAGATTGCAGATTTCTTTTGTTTACCCTTATTCCCAACTGAGTTGCCGCATCTAAATGCTCATTCAAATGTACAACTAATCACACTATGTGATATGCATCAAGCAATTACCAATGAGCTGCCTTGCTAGTGGACTCTTCATCACATCAACCTTAATATTCAGGACAAAGAGCCATCACCATGTCAAATGCTTCCATCAAGAACCAAATGTGGAGTCTAGTTTCTAACCACAACTAATCCGCACACTCAAATATAGAAAGAAACTTTTTCTAACCACGAGTAACTGCTACTAGAGAAAAGGAAATCCCTGTACTCAAATATGGAAAGAAACTTTTTATCTGAATTTTGCTAAAGACAGAGAGTAGTAGAAAATAAGAACTTCCTCATAAATTCAGAGAGGAAGCATACATTTTTGTGGTAATAAGTTAAATGGAGTAAAAAGTGATAAATTATTGTGTCCTCGCGTCTTGCTGTTCCCTTTTGTCACGGTGTAAAGAAAGTCAGCACATGAATAAAAACCAAATACCAGTTGATGCATCTCGATACCCACTCCTGGTGATACCATGTGTCAAAGTAGAACTGTCCTCCATAGGATTTTCAAAGGCTGACTTTTTTTCAGAAGTAGATCACTAGGCCTGTCTTCCCCGGTGCCTCTGGGTGGACTTGAACCTCCAGAACCTCCAACCTTTGAGTTAGCATTCCTTTAGGTTAGCAGCCCAGCACATTAACTGTTTGCATCACCCAGGGACTTGAAACACGGTAATAAGCATCTTTAAATTTCCTATTGTTAACAATCTCTTGTGATACTCATGGTCTATTCCCATTATTTAAATTGACTCTGATTTCTGAAGACTATGGTTAACCATTTTGGCATTAATTGTTTCTGTGGAACAATGCCACCGTGATTTTAAGAAGTAATATATTTTCCTTTTAGTGACTTGGAGAGTTTATGGGTTACGTTAAATCTCTGTTTTTGAAAACATGTGGAATCAATATTTCTTATTCAGAAAAATATTTAAAATATTTAGTGGGATAAGTATAGATCACTTGTGTTCATTTGTCAACTTTCCAGCTGAAAAGAATTACAATTAAAAAAATTTAAATATAGAAGCGCTAACTGAGTGGCATTAGTCTAAAATTTTGCAGTTCGTTTTTGCCACCACTACGCTTCAATTTTTCCAGTCAAACAAAAAAAAAAAAATACCCTGTTTCTATAATATCAATTCAAATTAAGATTCACTATGCTTTGTGCTTGTACTGATTTATCTAATTTTTGTTCCTCATCTTGCTTTGCTTTAACCCAAATCTGGATATTAGATTTCTTCTCAGTAACTGAACAGTGCTCCTAGTAAGCTCCAGGCTCACATCCTAGACTTCAGGACAATGTTGTTGCATTGATATGTAAAACCAAGGTCACACCCCTTTTCCAAGACCACTGGCTGAACCCCTGGATCCTAAATCCCTACCCTCAATCCATTTCTTCCCGAGGTGAATCTTCCCAGAGTTTGTCGACTGCTATTTGAGACGGTACGTTACTACCTCCATAAACGTAGGCTTCCTAATTTCTGTCATGACAATCTCCAGATGCGTCTCCTGCTTGTCTGGGTATTTCCCCATGACTAAATTGAATGATCCAGAATGTAGATCCATTTCTGACTCCCAGCAACTCAGCTTTCCTGAGCTTCTCTGAGAACCAATTTTCTATTCTGATGTTATCATTGGGGAAAAAAAATACACATCCCAGTGTTTTTCAAATGTGTCTGATGTATTCGTAGTGGGCACAGAGTACATGGGGATTTAAAATTTTCCTTTTCATTGCTGTAATAATCTTAAAATATAAGTATATTCCTGATCTGTATAATTATATAACTGAATAATTTATAACTGCTGCCACTATTTTGTTTGCACTTGTGTTTATGATCACATTGGTGCCAAGTACTATTGCTTTAATTGATTTGGCATAATAAGCAAGACTGTAGGAATTTAAAACATAAATAATTCATTTGTTCTATGATGAGGCCAAATGCTACATGAATGAAGGTGTGACTTAGTTAAATTGGAGAAAAGTGGTGGAAGAACTAAATCACTATACAGCACCCATAGTCACCATACGCTTCAGGCATGCTGAGATTAGTATTGACATACTAACACTTACAAACAAATTTATGTTTGGTGATAGGATTTGGTTTCAGCAAAGCAACATCATCTGTTGTATTAAATTAAGACAGTAAATTTGAATATTTTGTCTGTTGTATTTCTATTTGATTTCTATATATTTTTTGTTTTGTGTTTACATAGGAACTGTAAGCATATGGAGTTTTATAATTAGTTTGATGTTAATATATTTAAGTAAAATTGTACTGCAAGTAAACTGGATCTATGCTAGGGAATCTTTAAAAAGCATTTAAATATGAGAAACACTGGGCATGGGGTATATATTGAAGATTATTGACCT